AGAGAGAGAGAGAGAGAGAGAGAGAGAGAGAGGGAGAGAGAATTTCCGTGTCTTAACATATTTTGCATACTACCAGACAAAAATAATCAGACAATAGTGGTTTGTTTTCTTTTTTTTAAGGTTATATAGCTTCTTATGTCTCATTGTGGTTAAAACAATATGTAAATCCCCATCACTTTAATTTTCCCAAATCTTATCTAACGTCAAGCGGGTCTTAAAGTTCAATGACCAACAAAATAAAAGCCTATTAATGAAGATCACTGCACTCCGAGGTTCTTACACGATTTTCTTTGATGGTAGCCTAACGCAGGCGGGTTTTTTTTTAAAGGGGGGTGGGGGTCCCATCATACACATAACACATAAAAAACTGACCTATTTTGAAAGAGTGCGGATTTACAGCATACACCTAACAACATAAAACACAAAAAGTAACTTATTTTCATCAACACCACACTCAACTAACGCACACCTATGAAACACGGGCTAAAAGACGGATCGAGGAGTACTTTTCTTAACTTGTATGAAAGTGGATAGATACGTCGACTGTCCCCGTGGTTTTATGCACCCCGCATTATTTAGCAAAATTTGATCATTAAAGCATAATTTCTGATTATTTTTCTTATCATTCTTAGTTAAAATTAACAGAATGGCATAATTTCACATTTTTGGGCTCAGTTTGCATAATTTCAAAACTTTTCTTGCATAAAACGACGGGCACAGCACGGTCTTGGGAAGAAATCTACAAACTACAAGTTTACAAAATGAAATGTGGGGGCGGGCTGAGGGGTGTTGCTGTCTCAAAATGAGCGATTTCGAGGCCAGGTTACTCTTATATCATTCATTTCAGTGATCCGGTGTGTGTATCCAAAGGGCGGAGTTTACTAGGCCCCAAATAGGGAAACTTTAAAAAAAATTACTGGATCAAGATCTATGACTTTTTTTTCTTAGTTTTTTCCCCTTGTCGCGAGCAAACAAGAGTGTCATAATGCAGTTACATCTTCTTCTTCTATCCCGTGGTTGGGGCAACCATGGGGGCACCACTGCATCTGAAAACCAGCTCTCGCCATCTATTTTTGTCCTCTACTTTCCTCAGATTGTCACCCATCGTCTTTCCCGACCACTCTGCAATGTTGTCCTCCCATCTCTCTCTCTCTGCCTTCCTCTCTTTCTCTTTCTTGTACTGTTCCTCGCAGGATTGTTTTGGCAAGTCCTGTGGATCTTGTGACATGCCCATACCATTTTAATTTTCGTCCCTTCACTGTGGTCAGTAGATCTTCATACTGCTCCACTGCGTTGGTGATTCTCTTTCGTACCTAAGCATTTGAAACGTGGTCTTTGTACAAGATGTCAAGGAGTCTGCGGTAACATCTCATCTCTTTGGTCTGAATCTCCTTCTCTAATTCTGCTGTAAGTGTCCACGACTCGCAGGCGTATAAAAATATTGAGATGACCAGTGAGCACAATAGTCTGAATTTTTAGTTGTGCGTGATGTTTCTGTCCCTCCAAATAGGCTTCAGTTTTGACAGCGCAGCTGTTGTTTGCGCAATTCTGAAGAGAATTTCTGGTCTTGAGCCTTCATCTGAGACGATTGATCCATGATATTTGAAGCTGTTGACGGTCTCAAGTTTCTCGCCCCTGACTTTGATGTCCGTGTTAATGTCATTGATGTTATTGGTCATTAGCTTGGTTTTCTCGGCACTGAACTCCATGCCGTAGGCTGCTGAGGTTTTGTCCAGCCGCTCCACTAGTGTGGCGAGCTCCCGTTCTTCTCCTGCTAATCCATCGATGTCATCGGCAAAACGCAAGTTAGTGATTGTCCTGCCTCCAATACTGATTGTTCCATTGAGGTTTTCTAGAGTGTCAGTCATGATTCGTTCTAGGAAGATGTTGAAGAGAGTGGGAGAGAGCAAACAGCATTGCCTCACCCCGACCGTTGTCCTGAACCAATCCCCCATGCTGCCGTTAAGGTACTGCGCTGGAGGCCTTGTCATATAGTTGTTGTATGACGTTGATCAGGTTAGCGTTGATGTTATATTTCCTCATGGTTGACCATAAGGCTGCATGCCACACCCTGTCGAAGGCCTTTTTAAAATCCACGAAGATATGGTATAGGTTTTTTCGCGAGCAAGCAAGAGTGTCATAATGCAGTTACATCTTCTTCTTCTATCCCGTGGTTGGGGCAACCGTGGGGGTTACATGAGCGTCCGCAAAATAAAATTAAAAGAGCAGGAATTTTTTTTTTTACGGACAGACGAAAGTAAACAAGCTATAGGTCTGGAAATTGCGGGTTTTGAGATTATAGTATACAGCCCTAGATTATGAAAGAAAAAAAGGAAAAAGGAAGTTATTAAACTCACTACGGACATGGGCAATCACAGGCGACCCCCCCCCCCCCCTACACTTCTCCGCAGAGATAAGAAAAAACACGCACCAATGGTCAAGGGCCTATTATTACACGTTCAGTTGGAATTGGCAATCCGTTCTCTTGTATTAAATTTAAAAAAAAAAGAAATGATGTTCCATCATGGTAAAAATAACTTTCTTTCTTTGTGATCTCCAAAATTCAGCAACAACAAAATCACTCGCAAAATGCTGGAAGTTGAGAGTGTTTGAGAATGTTATCTTCAGGTCTGCTGGGGGTAATGATATAGGTTGTAAAGCACATAGAGCTTGCTGTTGAGCCGGAATTTGTAATTAAATGCTAGCTATTATTGTAATGTTGTATAATAATAATGTCATAAAATTTCCAAAAATATCCAAGTCTATACTTTTTGCTTTTCTTTTCGTACAAACAGAAACGATAATGTCAATAACGACCGTGGTAATTGTCCTTATTTCATAACATTAATAATTAAGAAAGAAAAGGGATTTTTTTTAAGGAAGAAGAAAGGTCGGCGTTGTGTTATAAAATTGAACACGTTGCTAGTGATTAAAAAAATCATTGCTGGGACGAAGATCTTATTTTTACTTCTGACTGCAAGGTCTGCTAGCACACGCACTGTCAAGCTCTCATTCTCAAACTCGACCTGCTTTCATTTTGGACATTAGGCCTACTGTGGACTTTAGGTAGGTTTAGAGGCCAATTTTTTTTCTTTGATCAAACGTATAACTGATTCGCCTGTAAGTTTTGCGACCAAAAGTATAATGCGAAAACGATAATTAGGGACCGACAAGCAGTAGCTGCTAATAATTGAAATGAGTAGGCTAACTGAGATCGGCAGCTCGAGCTCGAACTGTGAAGTGGGTTTAAAACTCGTTCACACCAGTCACGGTCAGGCGTTTACTTTCATCGGGCTCCGATCCGATAACGAACGATTTTGGCTAAATTTCTTTAGCGTGTACTGCTGCACAGAGTGCACATTATTGTACGTAGGCTGTAGTATTCAAATTTAATGTCTTATGATTGTGTTATTTCAACATTTACCGAAGTTGTTTCAGTTTAGGCCTAGACTACACACACATTACAACTGGGGCGAAGCCAGCTGAGAGTGTAACACACGTACACGGCACGGGATAGGAGAATTAATCCTTAATTTGATGTTTGTTACTTTGTTAACCTTTGCTAGAATCTAGTGTATGCTGGAGTTGAAGGACATACTACTTCATTTTGGTCTTTAGGAGTGCATGGGGCTTGTTTAGTTTTGTCATGACTTCCAACTTCTTTTCAACGCAATATCAGAAGGAAATTCTCTTCTCATATTTACTGCTGCTTTAATATAAATGATACAGTGGAACTCAGATTCAACGTAGTCGTCAAGCCTGACCTTCAATTTAGTTGAATCTGACGTGTTCGTTATAGCTTGAGGTTTTTGTGTGTGTAGATGCCATGGATGGTTTCCAGGAATGGATAAAGTTCGTTGCGGGAGAAAAATAAGAGAAGCCACCTCATCGGGGGCTGTTCACCCTGCAAGCGACTGTGTTGAATCCGAGTTTGCTTATTTATGGGTTTTTTAAAATGAGTATTTTTATTGATTTTAATAAAATAAAAAAACTGGCTCCTTTCATTGAATCTGAGTTTTTGTTAAATCCAAGTTAGTTGAATCTGAGTTCCACTGTAATAGTAATAGCTCCTCCGTCAACGTATGATGATGAACAACACATCATGCAGAGGAGAACATTTTTCCAGCAAAATAGAAAAATTAGAAGAATTAAAGGTTAAGATGACTTCTTGTGGCTGCAACTGTGGCTGATGAAACCAATTCTGGCAGAACTGTTTTAATCCCATACACCATTACTCATTACTTTTACAAGTGTCCTTATAATAACAATGTCTTTGTTGATGTCGTCTGATCAAACGACCAGTTTGTTCTTTAAGTGATGGCTAAATGGCATGTAATTCCTACATGATGCCGGTCATTTCAATGGAGTGAAGGACCAATCCTGACCATGGTGGACGATTGAAACTAACGGCTAACGGGGTGCATGGAAAAAAAAAAGAAGGTGCAGAAGAGCCGATTAAATAGATGTAAAATAATAGTGTAGGAGATGAATGTGAATCTGAACTACTCTAGTCATTAATTAGACGGATCAGAAGTGGATTGAGGTTGTGTGAATTTGAAGTCTAAAAAGTGTAGCGATACGAACATTCAAGGGAAGTTGTGTTTGAGTTCGATTTAAAATTTCACTTTGAAACTTCTCCTTCCAAAAAGTGGTAACTAACCAAGTTGCTCCAATAAATAGCCCTAGCAATAAAAGGGAAATTGAAACGCTGATTTCTCATAGTTTGAATTTTTAAACACCATTTGCTTTTCTACTCATGATGTTATCAAATGTTAAAGCTGAGACTGACACATGTGCGGTCATGGCAATGGCATGGATTTTTTTTTTGTCTGATGGGTTTGAAGAATAAAAAGGATCTTCCTTCTGGAACAGAGGCATTTTGTAAAATGTGTAGTCTTAAGACGGCACTATGCAGCTCTAGTAGAGATGCAGTCCTGGTGGCAAACCAGCCTTGAGAAGAAGATGACGGCTCCCACATGCCCTTCTATCCCAGAAGAGATTTTAATTATATTCAATGAAACCCAATGTTTGGATAGTAACTGAGATGGTTTTCTGTGGTTTTTGTGAAACTTTAGAGTTTCTTCGTCTAGCTTAATTTTGTCCTTTTTTCTATTTTGACCCGTTTTATCAATATTGGACTAACTTTACATTTAAAAAAAAGCAAGCAGAGTCTTGTGTTACCTTATTATATTAGTACTCAATTTTGATATTCAGATGCCTTACTGATTTGTTTCTGTTGTCCCAAAGATGTTGCACATATTTGATTATAACAAGGATTTTTTTTTTTCAGATTACAATGGCTGATACTGCTCAAAGATCAGAGCTGTATCCTGATATAGAGCCATATGATTCTGGTTTTCTACAGGTAAGTATCTTTTAGACTCATAGGGCTTGTTTGATAATGTTTCTGTCAAAGGTGGATGGGCTTTGTAAGTTTGTTCCTTGCGTGTCATGAATTTTTTTAAAGGCTCATGCACTGATTGCTCATTTTCTTGTGTTTCTTGTGCTGCATGAGAATCTTAATGTGATGTCAAACAGTGCTTAAATGTTACAGTGGAAACCTGATATAACAGGGATGGTGGGACCAGAGAAAAAGTCCTATTATATATCAGATCCCTGTTTAATGAGAAATGCAACAAGGGAAGTAAGCATTTGTGGACTAATCCAGCTGTATTTATTCATGGATAGTTTCCCATGGCATGGGCATGACGCATTACGTGTGCATGTTGCTAGGCTTTGGGTTAGATTGAAGTCTGCAGCTCACCGCAGCCCTCTCTCGCTTCACCCGCTGCGTGCGCTTGCAGTGGCATGTCTTGCATGGGCTTGCTCCA